TATGATTTTAACAAATAATTCAATTTTTCTTTCAATCATTAATAAAAAATAGTTTCTTAAAAGATTTGATGTTATAAATTTTTTACTTTTTTTTACTATTTACTATTATTAATTATAGATTTTATAATATTTTTGTTAAGATTGAGAAAAAATTTTAATAATTATCAGATAATATTACTAGAATGTAATTTATTGTAAAATTATATTAAGTAATAAATATATAACTATCTGAGTCTACCAAACTATTGCAAAAAATAGTATCAAAGAGCTGTTCCTCTGATATTAAAAAGAATTACTTCTAAATGAATATCAAGATGTGTTTATAAAAAAAATATTGTTATAATATGAATATTTAGTTCTTATTTTATTGGTTAATTTAGATTATAAATTTAATTAAATAATATTTTATTGGTTAATTTTATTGTTATAATTTGATATTTTACAAAGATGATCATATAAATGATTATTTTAAGCAATCATTTCAAATAATTACTTCTTACTTATAAATATTATATATATCTTGACTAGTAAAAATAATAAATTTAATAGTTTTTAAAATTTTAAGAATAATTAAAAACATGTAATAAATCATATTATAATTTTATAATGAAATTATATATTTATTATATAATATTTTTTAATAAAATACTTTTAATATAAATTTATAAATTCCAGTTCTTATTCTAGCAAACTATATTGTTATATAATGATCTTTTGTTATAATATTATATGTTATTAAATTATATATATCTCATATCTTATTGAATAAAAATCAAATCATGTGAAGTGAGCAAACAAGTGAACAAGCGAATGAATGAATAACTAAATGAATGAGCAAATGAATGAGTGAACGAATATTGAACCAATAGAATTTAAGTGATATAGTGAACATGAATTCGTATAGTTTAGAAATTATATCTTGAATTTGTATAAAAACAATATGTATTGTAGTTATTAGAAATAGATACGAACAAGTTCTTTTAGATAATAATTTTCAATTATTATATCTAATTAGTTATCATATAGTTTTAATTGTTCAAAGAAAAGTAATTTGTACTTTATGTAGAGTAAATAGTCAAGCACAAACTTCTCTCTACACTCTTTTGACAAAGTATTCTTGTTTCTTGTATAATAGTTTTATAAGAAATTATACAGATCTTGAATCAACATATATTATAGTAGCTTAAGCAGTATTGCCAAGAGTGCTATAAAAGTTATCATCTTTATTCTAGACTTTCTGAATACGTTGTGACAAAGTCTATTGAACATCATATTAAATAAAGGAATTATTATTATAATTCATAAATCTGTCTTTGAGATTATATTGCTAATAATACATTGCTTATAAACTTATCTTTGACTTTGTATTGCTAATAATATATTGTTCAATACATTTATCTTCAGTCTCATATTGTTGATAATACGAATATTATATCTTATATTTTGACTTCAAAGATTTAAAGATATATTAATACATATATTATATTTGACATTGAGATTTTGAGAACTCTTTTTAGCAGTCCAGTTATTGTGTTAAAGAACACAACTGTTACCAATTTTAAGTGATTCTATAAGTACTTGTCATACTTTAATTCATATTTAGTTTAAAGTCATAAAATATTATTAAGACTTTGAATTGTCATTAAGATATCAGAAGTTTCTCTTTGAATATTTCTTAAATTTTATAAATATTTTTGAGTATTTCGAAACTTCATCAAAATGATAACAATATTATTAAAGAGAATTTGCTCGACTACCAGCAATTTTAATTTTCTTTTATTATTTTTTTCATATTGTCAAATTTATTTAAAATATTGAACCAGTATGAATAATCTGGTAATATTTAATAAAAAGACTTTGTGAGATGTTGCTGTCTCTTGTTCAGTCAAAATAACATTTCTATATAAATTTAACCAACCAAATTACTGTGTGAAATCAATTTTCTCATCTTCAATATTTTCCGGAAATTAATGAATGAATGTTTGATAATTCAAAAAAAATATAAAGGAGTTTGAAAAAAATTGAAATTTTGAAATTAAAGGTGAAGATAAATTACTGTTGGTATCAGGGTGAAAACATACACTTAGCAAACTGAAAAAACAGTTGCTTAAATATTACTATATTATAACACAAAAAATAGTTAAACTTGAAGAGGTATTTTTCCATTTTTCACTGGCATTTTATCTAGTCTGAAACTTCATTCGTGAACTAGTCACTACATGTACTGATACTGGCATAATCCAGCATGGTAATAATTTTAGAAGATTTCATTAGATATTTGAATTTATGAAAAGCTTCAAATTGCGAATAAAGAAATAATTAATTTATAACTCATCAGCCAAAAAGGAAATGTATCTCATGCTAATTACTGAATAGCAATATATATGTGATATGTTAATTTTCTTTTCAGGCAAATGCTAATAATTACTTTATTTTTTTCAGATAATACTATTGGTTGATAAAAACATCTAGAACAAAAATGCATCTATTAATTTAGAAGAATGAGAAAATAAAATACTATTTTGCACATGAATATATAAAGAATAAAAATAAATGAATATTATTAGCTCTGGTGCAATGGGTTATTACACCAGTAGCTTTTGGTTATGATCTACTTATTTTCTGTGATCTTGATTATTTTGAAATTATTAATGTTAATGCTATAACTAGATTTATCAGTTTTTTTTCAATCATCAAAAATAGAAATTATATAATAAATCAGGAAGATTATATAATATATACTAATAAATAAAAGTAAAAATTTGTTTCTATTACCAGAGTAAAAATAATAAAAATCTGATATAGTTTCATTTTTTTTATTGGATAAAAAATGAAACTATATCAGATCTTTTAAAAAATAAATTTTTGTTAAAGTAAAACTAAATTTCTTATATAAATTCATTTTTTATTCAGTAAAAAAAATGAAAATATGTCAGATCTTTTAAAAACTGTTTTTACTCTGGCAATAAAAACAGATTTTTGCAAAAGTAAAACTGGATTTTTTGTATAAATCTGTTTTTATCCAGTAAAAAAAAATGTAAGTATGTCAGATTTTTTAAAAACTATTTTTATTCCAGCAATAAAAACAGATTTTTTGTATTGATCCATTTTTTATCCAGAAAATATTCTGAATAAAAAATGGATCAATACAAAAAACTGGATTTTTGCCTGATATATTCAAAATTTTTTTTTACAGGAAATGTGATTCATTTCTAAAATGATTTTGTCAAAGAAAATTAAAGTATAAGATGATTAATTCTTAAAGATTAAAATCTAAAAAAAATTATTTTTCTAAGCTAAGATACATGTTGTATTTATAAGTATTTGATAATTATAAAATAATCATTTGAAATAATCATTCAGAGTATTTAAAATGATTATTTGGAGTACTTGAAATAATCATTTGAAATGATCATTTGTAATGATCATTCAGAGTGCTTGAAATGATCATTTGCAATAATTATTCAGAGTGATCATTTGAAGTAATCATATGAAGTAATTATGTGAAATGATCATTTGTAATTATAAAAAATATTTAATCACAACAATATCAAATATTACCTGTATAATATGAATACCATATATTACATTTATTTACTTTATTAAAAGTTGTATATTACTTATGATCTTTAGCACAGCTCCATAATAATTTAGTATCACAATTTTTATATTTTGTTAAAAGATAGTTTCTATTTCTATTATATGTAATTCATTTGGTGATGTCAAGAATATATTTAATATTACCTGCAGTATGAATAACTTTTATATTACTAAATATTGCATTCTATTTATATCCCATAATACATTGCTATTGCATTAAAATATTGAAATTCTTATATTTGGTTGAAAGACACTTTTCATTTTTATTATGAGTAAAAATGATGCAGGAAGTATGTGACGCTTATTTATCACCTGTTGCAACATGTTGCAACTCCAAAATTTTATAAGTTGCAACTAATTGCAACTAGGTGATGCTTTATTTGTCACCACGTTGCAACAGTTACCACGCCATCTTTAATTATGAGTTATTTGTTTAGCAATTTCAAGATTAAGAAATTTTATATGTTTACAATTTGAACACCATGAACCATGATTTTTTATTTTCATAAGATTAGCAATTCATTTATGTTCTTTAACACAGCATCATAATAAAGGAGTTCTATTATTAATATATTCTTCTGAGAGATATTCACCATTTTTGCTATGTGCTAATTCTTTAGGTATCAGAACAAGTAGAACACCATCTTTTACCATTTTTTATAATTGTAACAGTAAATTGTGTGCTCTTTTCTTTATAATATTTATAAAAAAATCATAAGTTCAAAAATATCAACATATTAATATTAAATCATGCTAATTTTATTATTCTATTATTACTGATTTTAGCCTAAACTTGATAGATTGCAAAAGAAAAATTGCTGAAAATGCTTAAATGGATGCAAGGCTGGAATACAGTAATAACAGATAACAAATGATTGTTGTAGTTAATCTTGTTTATAATAAATGTTATATTCAATTCCATCTTTAAATATTTGATTATGATTTTCTTTTTTGTTGGTGGTGATGTGAATAAAGTAAGCTAACTTTTGATGAAATACAATATCGATATTTGTCGACTTCAGATTTATAATTCATTGAAGATTTATAATTATATGCTAGTTCCATTAAGCGAAGTGTGATTGTGATTGTATCTGAAAATATTTGAGTTCTTTAATATCATTAATTAGTATCATAAAGGACTTGAATACGTAGCTTTTTACCGAGTATTTCAAGTTCTATGATGATATTAAAATAAAAACAGTCAAACCTCTATAACACTCATTATGGCGATCCATTATTATATCCATTGGTATCGGTATATAAAAACGTTATTTCTGTGACGAATATGTTGAACTCTAAATTCAAGCTTTTAATGCTAAAATTAGCTATGTTGATATCAAAATTAATTGATGAATATAGAAAATTTTGAAACACGACACGTGAAAAATACCTTGAAAGTAATGAAAGAGCAAGTAATTGAACAAGCTACAAAGAGAATGCAAGTACTTAATTTCTTTTCTCAAATTATTCAGCCTTTGCTACTTCCACTCTTTCGAGTTGATAAAGACATGTTTTCCTTATCTTTATTATATACAAAAACACAGAAAACACATTCAATTTGGAGTTCTTTCTCCTAGTTCAATTATCAAGAACTCCGAGATCGAAATCACTCAAAGAGATCTATATAATGAGGATAGAACACCGGTGCAACATAGTACGTTGGATAAACGATTGGTATGTGTTTTTATAGGCTGAATGAATTCATGTAATGCATATGGCAGGTCTCTTAATTCTAATGTTTTTCTTTGTGGCTATAAAGGGCCCTTCTGGTGCCGTGAACGAAGAAACAATTTGTGAAACATGCCATGTAAAATCAAAGCTATGTGTCGGGCATTTTGGCTACATTAAATTAGTATTGCCTATCTTTCATATCGGTTTCTTCAAGGCTACAGTAACAATGCTCCAGAATATATGCAAAGTAAGTGGCGAGCATTTTACTCCTTTCTTCTAATATAGCTAAATCTAATAGTTTTAAAGAATTGCAGTCGTGTTTTGTTGACCGAGAATGAACGGAGGCTTTTTCTGCAGAAATTAAGGAGACCAAACATGGAAGGATCACAACGGAAATCGATTGTAAAATCCATAGATGCCCAATGCAAGAAAGTGGTTGAATGCCCTTACTGTGGTTCGATCAATGGTGTAGTGAAGAAGTGCGGCGGTCTAAAAATCGTCCATGAAAAGTTCAAAAACAAAAAAGCTCTCGAGGAGCAGGAAAACTTTAAGAAAACTTTTGAGAACGCGGTTGGTCTGATGCCTGAAATTAAAAATCATTTGAATAAAGCACAAGAGGATATGAATCCTTTGAAGGTTCTAAAACTGTTTCAAGCTGTGTCTTCAGAGGTAAATTATGGTTATGTTTGAAATTTCTGAAGTTATTTAACAAATTATATTCTAAAACTAACTGCCCAAAGGATTGCGAACTACTTGGGCTGGATCCGGAAAATGGTCGTCCAGAACTATATATATGGCACGTGCTACCAGTTCCTCCTATTGCTATTCGCCCATCAATTCCTCAAGAAAATTCAAGGTATCTCGAATCTTTATACCATCATTAATCTCTAATAACTTTTCTTATTATATATATATATAGTACGGAAGATGATTTAACTGTAAAACTTTCCGAGATTGTTTTTGTAAACGCATATATCAAAAGTGCATTGGAAAAGGGTGCACCTATAGCATCATTAATGGTATGTGTGTAATTTTGCTTTTGTAAAATTCTTGAGCATGATTCATTTTATGTATTCATTAATTGAATAGGAACAATGGGAATTCATGCAACTTTCTGCTGCCATGTATATAAACAGCGAATTGCCGGGAATTTCCAATAAAGTTGCCACGGTATTACATTTTATTTTCGAATCAATTATCCCTCCACAAATGACATTTTTTCTCATCTATATGCTTATAGTCAAACAAACCAATAAGAGGTCTTTGTCAACGGCTAAAAGGAAAACAAGGGCGTTTTCGTGGAAATTTATCCGGAAAACGCGTCGACTTTTCTGGTCGTACTGTCATATCGCCGGATCCTAATTTGCGCATTGACGAGGTATATTATCTATTATTTTTCTCAAACCTAAAACAATTTTCTTAACATCGCTCTTTATAGGTTGCCATTCCGGATCTTGTGGCTATGAAATTGACTTATCCAGAAAAGGTGTTCGAGCATAACATCGAAAAATTAAGGAAATGTATTATAAGAGGACCTAAACAACCATTGGGAGCGGTTCTGGTATGGCAAAGTGAAAATCAACATAAAAAGTAGGTGCTAATTCTTTATACAATATTCAAGAAATTGAATTATGAATAAACCATTGTTCAAATTTTTCGTGCAGAACTCTCCAATTTGCGGATCGATTCCAGGTTGCTAAAGAATTGAAAATCGGTGATATAGTCGAACGTCATTTGGAAGATGGAGATATTGTATTATTTAACAGACAACCTTCTTTGCATAAGCTTAGTATAATGGCGCATTATGTAAGTAATAATGGCAATAATTTATTATGATTATCCCTTGAGATATATTTATTTATTCAATTTTCAATTTAGGTTAAAGTAAAACCGGGGAGAACATTTCGATTCAATGAATGTGTGTGTAATCCATATAATGCAGATTTTGACGGGGACGAAATGAATTTGCATGTTCCTCAAACAGAAGAAGCGCGAACTGAAGCGATAGAGTTGATGGGTGTCAAAAATAACTTAGTGACTCCGCGAAATGGTGAACCAATTATTGCCGCTATTCAAGATTTTATTACCGCTTCATATTTGCTCACGAAAAAGGGTGTCTTTTATGATCGTTCTCAGTTTGTTCAAATATGCTCGTACATGTCTGATGCAAATTTGCATATCGATATTCCGCCGCCGACTATTTTGAAGCCTTTTAGATTATGGACAGGAAAGCAAATATTCAATGTAGGTAGATTTCAATCTAATTTTATTTATGTATATATAGGCAATCATGACATTTTATATCAAATGGAATTTACAGGTTTTGATGCGACCAAATAAAAGTTCCCCCGTTTTAGTTAATCTCGAAAACAAAGGACGTTCTTTTGAAAAGAAAGACGGAGTAATACCTGAACTTTGTCCTAACGAAGGTTATGTTGTAATTCGGAACAGCGAACTTGTGTGCGGAGTAGTCGATAAATCATTGGTGATTATGATTTTCTGGTTCAAAGCATGTTTATTTCAAAGGAAATATTTCCCCTCATTATTTTTTGTCCTTTAATATCTTAAATAAAGGTTGGGGATGGAAACAAACATTCTTTATTTTATACAATATTACGTGACTATGGCTCAGATGAAGCGGCTAACGCGATGAACCGGTAATTTAAGGAAAAATATTAATTATATTAGTCTAATGATGAGTTACTAAGTCATTTTGTTTTAATTTAGATTATCTAAGTTGTGCTCTCGTTGGCTTGGTAATTGTATATTACAATAATGAACTTGAATCAAATTTTTATATAATTTTTGTTAATTATTCTTATTTTTCAAAGCTAATCAGGGATTTTCTATTGGTATCGATGATGTAATGCCTGGTGAAGAACTGAGAACAAAGAAAGAGAAACTTATTGAATTTGCTAATATAAGGTGCGATGAATTGATCCAAAGTTCAATAAGTGGGAAATTAGAGAATCAATCAGGCTGTAATAAGGAACAGACGCTCGAAGTAAATCAATTAATTGCCTGAATTTGATAGTTTGCCAATAAATGAATAATTTGAGCTAAAATTTTGATAAAACGAATAGGCGCATATCTCCGGTGTTCTGTCTAAAGTCAGAGATGATGCTGGTCAAATTTGCATGACTGAATTAAATAAACATAATGCACCCTTAATTATGGCTACTTGTGGTTCTAAAGGTAGGTGCTAGAATAAATTTACATCAAATTTAAATATACCACTCTAATTACGAAATTTATAGGTTCAAAGATTAATGTCTCGCAGATGGTTGCTTGTGTCGGTCAACAAATTATTAGTGGGAGTCGTATACCAGATGGCTTTCAAGATCGTTCATTACCTCATTTTCTAAAGCACTGTGCGTGAAGATCATACTATATCTGAATTTTCATTTTTTTTCATTTTTTCATTTTTCCATTTTTTTTGTAATTATCAGCAAAAACGCCAGCTGCTAGAGGATTTGTTCGAAACAGTTTCTTTAGCGGATTGTCACCGCCTGAATTTCTTTTTCATGCTGTTTCTGGTCGAGAAGGACTTGTAGATACAGCAGTGAAAACCGCAGAGACCGGATATATGCAAAGAAGATTAATGAAAGTACGAAAACATTCCTCTTCTAATATTTATATCATCATAATCCCTTTCTAATATAATTTTTTATATTATCAAGGCTTTGGAAGATCTGGTGATTCATTATGACACTTCGGTTCGGACTTCCTCTGGGAATATAGTACAATTTTGTTATGGCGACGACGGGTTAGATCCAACTTACCTTGAAGGTGAAATCCACCCTGTCGATCTGCCGCGTAATTTACAGCATGCTTTGGTATGACACACCACTCTATTTATTAAATATAAGCTTGATTCAATTATAATGTGTATTATTTATCATTCTAGGGTATAATTCCTCGAAAAAAAGACAAAGCACTATTGCCGAACGAAATTTTAGATACTATGCAAAAGGAACTTGAAAGTCCAAAATTTAGCCAACTATGCACTCAAAATTACATCGAGTCGGTGCGTAAATTTGTAGATGATGACATAATAAAGAAGCTAGAGGATATACATCAGAAATATGCTCCCAAATCTTTGATTGAACTGGACGATGGTATATATCTCTGTTGCATAGGATGTTTTGGTATGTTTATTAAATATAACGTACTAAAAAGTATTCATTGAACCTCAGATTCTAAAAAAATTATTAATGGTTTGTTGAATATAACCTGCAAACAATTACTCAAATTTTTCGATATTTGCAGAGGAAAATACCTTAATGCAAGGATTGAACCAGGTTTATGGCTTTTTTCATTTTAATGACGGTTTTTCAACGTGTATGAAAATCTATTTAACGTTGACTTTTCCCATTTCCTTTATTATAGGTACAGCTGTTGGTGCTGTTGGGGCACAATCTATCGGAGAACCAGGCACGCAAATGACCCTCAAGACCTTCCATTTTGCCGGTGTGGCGTCTATGAATATAACTCTTGGAGTTCCGCGTATCAAGGAAATCATAAATGCGTCAAAGACTATAAGCACACCAATTATTACTTGCAAGCTTGTTTCTGATACCAATTTGACCGCAGCCAGAATAGTCAAAGCTCGTCTCGAGACAACCTATCTTGGTGACGTAAGCAAGCATTTTTTACTTTTCCTATTCTAATACTGCAAAGGCTGACTCTTGAGACGAATCAATAATTTACAGATTGCCAAGTCTATCGAAGAAGTTTACAAATATGATGACTGTTTTCTAACAATCACTTTGGACTTGGAAGCCATCCAAAAGCTTCAGGTAAAAACAGCTTTATTATAATTAGCGATTTATATTGAAAAATTAATAAATATGCTTCTAATTTGTTTTAGTTGGAAATTGGCGTCAACCAAGTCGCACAAGCCATAATAAACACGCGTAAATTAAAATTGAACTCAAACGTAAGAAATTCAATACTTGAACTCCTTGTTGTTCTTAGTATTTATGATATAATACTATGTAATTTTTTCCGTATTATAGAATATTACTGTACTCAAAGCTGACCACCCCGCAGACCAGAATCAAATAATTGTGCATGTATCACAAGATCAAGATAACTCGTTGTATTTTAAACTACAAGTATTGAGACGCGCTCTACCCAAGGTTATAGTGAAGGTGAATTTCTAGATTCCGTAATGAATGAAAATCGGTGTCTTGTCATAATATTGATAATTTTTAATGTAGGGAATTCCAACAGTCACAAGAGCAGTAATTAGTGAAGAAAAAGGCACTCGAGAGCTACTTGTCGAAGGTTATGGATTGCAAGATGTAATGACAACTGAAGGTGAATCACAGAATAACAATTTATATAGTGTATTATTAGATAGTATAAATTTATTAAATTTATAAATTTGATAAATTAGGTATTGTTGGAACTGCAACTACTTCAAATAATGTCAACGAAGTGCAAAAGTATTTAGGGATTGAAGCTGCAAGGTAATTAGGGGTTGTTAAATACATATATATGTTAATTAATCCTCAAAATAAATACATTAATACACTCATTTTTATGATCGGTAGAACTACTATTATCAATGAAATACAATATACCATGACGAGGCACGGCATGAGTATTGATCCAAGACACGTTAAACTACTTGGAGATATCATGACTTACAAGGTATAGTTTTTCGAACAACCTTTTAGCTTGATTTCATAATCTAACTCTTTGTGATTATTCTATTAACGTCCCATTAGGGTCAAGTATTGGGTATTCATCGATTCGGTGTTGCCAATATGAAAGACAGTGTTCTTATGTTAGCATCCTTCGAAAAGACGACCGATCACTTATTCGACGCGTCTTTATATGGACAACGTGATTCCATTGAAGGCGTGAGCGAGTCTATAATTATGGGTATGCCAATACCTATCGGTACAGGATTATTCAAGCTACTTCGAGAGTCGGACCCAAGTCCACCTAAGACCCGAAATTTATTATTTGATAGCCCAGAATATCATGTTCCGGTGTCATTTGCTTGAATTATATGTAAATATCTATGCATCTATGTAAATTAATTTATCAAAGGATCAAAAATTTGTTCTTTATAAAAAATTCAGTTCAAAGAATAAAAAGAATATAGATAATTGGAGTATTCTAGCATGATGATTCAGATCACGTGATAATTTCTAAAATTTGCAACATTTTTTGTTAGAATACAAAAAATAAGCATTTGTTTTGTTTATTTTTGATTTTGCAATTTAATTGATTATCAAGATTAAATTTTTAAATTATTGTAAATTAAGAACAAGAATGAAAATTTTGTTAAACAAATAAAAACATAATATATAATAAAATTTTTTATAGCATTTTTTCAATCTTGTTATTACACAAAATTCTATAATTTTATTGAAATTCACCAGGATGATCTCCAAAAGTTCAGACCACGTGATAATTTTTTGATGATGTTAGTGATGATGACCAATTAAATTGCAAGATCAATGTGTAATAGTATTCCTATAAACCAAATCGAACCAGACTTTGGCTTGAGTTCAAGAAAGATTCAAAATTTGAACTGAACTCGAACTGAATTATTATACGAGTTTGAGTTTGGTTCGAATTTGATTAAAGATCAGCATATAATATCATATACTGATTTGTAGCTCTAAATATAAGCTACAACTTTACTTATAAGCACAATTTATGGTATTTAATAAGAATTAAAAGTTTACATAGTGTTACCATATTATATGAGTTCTTGGAAGAGCTGGTGAGTGCTTAATAACGTTATAATAAGTTACTTGGCCAGGGTAATTATAGTAAAGTTTATTAAG